TCTTGTCCTTGGGGCACCGAGATCTTAAATATAACTGACATGCACAGTTCAAATCTGTCACCACTAATATTAGCTGAAGGAATCCTATAGAAATACATGAAAGACTCTTACAGGCTTTTAAAAATAAAAATCATATTTCTAAAAGTTTTCCAATGTTTTGTAATTTTTCTTAGCACAGGCACACTTATGTATGCTTTTCTCCCTATAGTTGTAGGTTAGCATTTATCCTGTAAATAGTATTATCTCTGTAAGTATACACTGAAAATAAGGAAGATTAGATTGTTTAAAGTAACTTTATTTTGAGAAGCTGATGAAGCACTGAAATATTGCAAATATATAATTACACATTTGCTCTAAGTCAATGGTTTTCAAATATTCCAGTAGATATCCCCTAAATAATTTTTTAAACTTTGTATCTACCTTGTCTCCCCTCCCCCCCATTTTTAAGTTGTCTAAATGTTTTCATCATAAGTTTAGGTAATTTCAAAGAATAAAATTTCTGTAATACTACAAATATCTTCAAATAAAAATCATATTACTCCTATAATCTTACTCAGTGAATTTAAAATAGCTTAATAATTTGTTACCACCATTTATCCACTTAGAAAATAACTAATATCCTCTTTAAAAGATGGACATTCTATATTGTTCCTTTTCCCTTTGAATTTATTTCCAGTCTTTTTTTCTTACAGACTGTTATTCTAATATAAAATACGTTTATGCTTGCAAGACTTTTTAATGGCTATCTTATCATACCACACACATCCTTCTCTGTAAAAGAAAAAAGTATATACACAAAGAAAAACTGATTTTTTAAGCATTCTGTGACAATAATGCTCTAAGGGTTATATGATTAATTTATTACTAAAATTAACATTAAGTATTAAATTTTGAGAAAAAATATATTAAATTAAAAAAACAAACATAAATCTTCCAAAAATATGTCTTAATGGGATGGGTATAGTTTCCCATTTGTTCTCTTGCACTGAATTAGCTCATGTATTCAGGTGTCAATGCTAATTTTTGTTTAAAGATGACAGGGTTCTCTTTGAGACAGTATGGAGGGACCTGGAGAGTATTATGTAAATGAAATAATGAGTCAGAGAAAGACAAGTATCACATGATCTCACTCATATGTGGAATCTAATGAACAAAATGAACTGGTGAACAAAATAGATCCAGAGGCAAAGAAGCATGGAACAAATTGTCGAATCTCAAAGGGAAGGTGGGGGTGGGAAGAGATCAACCAAAGAACATGTATGCATATATGCATAACCCCTGGACACAGATAATAGATTGGTGAAGGCCTGGGGCGGGAGTGTTTAAGGGGGGAAAAGGGGAACATATGTAATGTTTTCAACAATAAATATTAAAAATATAAAATTAAGAAGACAGGATTCAATATCATATATATTTTTTTGTTTCCACAGATTTAATCCCTGAAAAATATTATTCACATAAATAAGTACAAAATTGAAAATAGTTTTGCTGTAACAATGACACTCAATTTCTTGAATGCCTTCCTAGTTTTATGCAAAGATTACATAGTGATCTGTCATCAAAAATTAATTTTAATGCCCTATTAACTCAATTAAGTCCTCCCTTAAATTTTGTTGAAAGCAAAGAATTAGAACCCACTTGATCTGCCAAAGAATTGTAATGTAGTTATTAAAGTCATCCATTTTCTGTTTCTGGAAAGAATATAAAAAAGACTTTATTTACCAAGACCTGTCAAATAACTAAAACTGTTCTTTCACCTAGATGTATTTCATAAGAATATGTATGCATAGCATATGGGTGGCTGGCTTGAGATGGCAAAATTTTAAATTGCCTCCTGCTTGGCACCTGGAAGTGTTTTGGCTATTCTAGAGTATTGTATATAATAAAAGCCTATGTAGTATCACATGACATCATCACAAGATGGATACCACAAGATGGCTGGCAGGGGAGGGCAGTTGGGATCAAATAGGCCAGCAGGGGAGGGCAGTTGGGATCAATTGAGCCAGCAGCAGAGTGGCTAGGGGCAATCAGGTTGGCAGGCAAAAGCAGTTAGGAGTAACCAGGCAGGCAAGCAGTTAGGAGCCAGCAGTCGTGGATTGTGAGAAGGATATCCAACTGCCACCAGTCAGACATACCTCAGTTTGGAGAAGGTGCAGGCCGGGCTGAGGGATATCCCCTGCCTGTTCATGAATTTCGTGCGCCAGGCCTCTAGTTTTCTCTATAAAGGACTTGCATATTTGTCTTGCTGTTGTGAGTCCTTTTCCCTCTGAGCTTTGCATTTTTTGTCACTTTGTATTCCTATACTTTTAATTACATTTTCTCAGTGCTAATGCAGGAGTGAGAAGTAAAATGGGCTTTCTTATACTGGTTTTTCTCAAACATACAGTTAAATATTTATTATTTCATTCTACAAATGTTTATTGGTGGTCCACTACACATTAGGAATTTTTGTCTGGCCCTGGGGATGCATTTGCAAGTAAAATGTCATTTCTAACCCAGGAAACTGACCTGCTAGTGAAAGAGGAAAGGGACAAGTTGAAGAAGAGGAGGGAAAATGCACATATGGTTGTGACCTAGGCACAGAGATAATTGGTGACAAGACAAATCAAGTTGCTCATTATGATAAAAAGACCATCTTATCCTTTATAAGGTATTATAATTACTGAACTTATAAAATCAATATTCTATGCATATTCCTAATTGGATGATGGAAATTAGATTTTTACATTCAATGAATTATATACTCTTAAGATCAGACCACACCAATGTAGACCACCAGCACTGTTCTATGGTTTAAGTGCTGAATAGCAAGAGAAGAATAAAGAACCCGGACATAGTTTTCAGCAGCTGATTTTATGAACTATAAAATACTTTCCCAGTTGAGCAGTCTACCCAGTGCATTAAATCTGCTCCTTCCAACGCCATGTGAAAGTCAAAGGGCCTCATAATATTTGAGCATTAACATTAATACTGAGCATTTTCATTTTTATGGTTTTACTTAATTACTTCAAATTAAATCCATCTTGAGAAAACTGCCATTGTAAAAAAAAACCTACTCCGTTTAATTAATTTTATTTTTCTCATGATGACTTTATTTTTACCCTGATTCCAAAGGAATCCTTAAAATAAGGCATTTATCATTTTACTCCATAGTATTTTTAGCAAAGAGATTATATAAATAAGAAAGACTAACAAATTATTTTTTATTATTGTCTAAAGTTTTAAGACTAACAAATTCTAATAAAAGTTATGGTCCAAGTGTTATTATTGATGTAATTTTCGGTTTTGTGTGGTATACTGGTATAATTAAAATGTTTAAATAAGAAACAACAGCAATCCCATGATGACAGCAATAACCTGACATATGTTTGGTCCTAAATATTTTCCCAGGGACCTTCTGTCTTAATTCTTACAATCTGATATAACAAGTTTACTTACAACCATATTTACACATGAAGGAATCAAGGAACAAGTGACTTGGTGAATGTTGTATGAGTGGCATTTTGTATGCTGACCTCAAGTCCTCAAACTCAAAATTTCTGTTTTTGTTCATACTTTTAAAAAGAGCATTTAGTTCATAAGCCAAATCCTGTTGGCAAGACACCCCCTAAGGTTAAGTAAAATATATGTGGAGGAACACTAAACATTTTATTCACCTACAATGTCATCATACTGAAACTGAGAAGGTCAGTGTACTTTCCAAATGGCCCAGTTAAATCTAAGGAATAGCTTATTTACCCACTGGGTCTGGACACTGTCAATCAAAATCTCTTGTTTACACAGGATTAAAGTGTGCTCCATTAGCATCTTTCCATTCCTCATACTCACAAAATAACTATTTTATTCTTCATTAGTCTTATTGTTTAAGGTTTTATTTTTTTCTTCAATAAAAAACACAAAAAAAGATAAAATTAAAATCACAACTAGTCCCACGCCACTCTTAATATTTTGTGTGTTTCCTTAAAATCTTCTTAAAACGAAAATATGTATATTTGACACTTGCATCATGCTCCCCATTATACTTTCAGATACCACTATTTCCCCCCACATAATGCCGTGGCAATATTTACTTTTTAAAATATGACTTTCTATGGCTGAATAATATTTCATCATAAAATGGTACCATTCACTTATTTTACTATACTTCTAATTCACATGGTTTTTATTATTAAAATGTTAAAAACTAATATAACCATATTCTATAACACTTTAAAAAAAGAAGAAATGAAATCAAAGCCCTAATTCTTGTCTAACAAGTTATTTTTCTGAGTTTTGCTCACTCTCTTATATTACTTTTTCATCTGCCTATCATTATATGTTATCATTAAAGTGCATATGATTTTGTATCTTGAACTTGTTTCCATTTAACATTGTATTATAAGCTTTTTCCATAACCACTATGGCACAGTGGGTGGAAATTCCACATTAAATCTAACCATTATATTGTCAAAAAATAAGTTCATCCCCTTTTTATCCTAAAATCACTTAAAATAAATCATTTTGCAATAAATATTGCAAGCATGTGGTCTTTACATTCAGGCACTTAAAAATATTTCTTAATTCCTGCAGGCAAAATTATTGAGAAAAAGACTGACCATCTTTTATCACTATTTGGATATTAGTGAAAATAATGTAAAAAATATTAAAGCTAATTATCTTATCTGAACTTCAAAGCATATATGGCATCCTGATGTCAATTTTTTATCCACCAGTCTTTTTAGTGATTGAAAAATATAGAAGCATACAGGGCACTGATTATATAGACTAATTACTTTTTCCTTAGCAAATCTTAGCATAATTGTTTTTACAAATTAAAAAAAAATTTAAAAGTCTGCATCCACATACCTTTCACGTATAGTTTAGCTTATTTTCCCCTTTGAGACTTAGATGTAGTGTTAAAAAATGTTTTCTAGAGCTGCTTCCTTTGGGGAGTGCTCTGACATCCACATCAGGACCCTGTGGGAATTCTGATAGAAGAAAGAAGAAAATGCCCAACTTACCATTTCTAACACATTTACACGGTCCTGCAAATAAAGCATAATATATCATTATAAAAGCAAAGCTACTAAGATCATTTCAAGTTTACTTAATTTTCAAATTTTCTTTTTATTCTCTATTACTAATAATTTGTTTTTAAAATGTAAAATCTGAAAACTCAGGGTGACCTCTGCAATAGAATCAGTCACAAAAGGATCACTGTGCTTTTCCTCATCTCTGCAGGAGTTAGGACTCCAGGGTTTAATTTAGCAGTAAATACTATATATTCACATATAATTGCTAAGTGAAATAGACTTTACCTCTTTTGCATTGGTACAATTATTTACATAAGGATATATAATATTAGATACATTTGAATATATGAACCATGACTAAACAATAGTAGTGATATAAAAAAGAAATTTAGTAATATATCAGCTCTCAATTAGGTGTATAGCACAAAGTTTGATCTCGCAGGAAGGTAAAGTTCAGACATAAGAATGCTTCATCAAATGAAATTAATAAGCAAATTATTCATTAAAACAAAGCAGGAAAAATCAATAAGGAATATATGTCACATATAACCAGTCCTGAACCTAGATGAGTCTTTATCACTTATGGTATCTTAGAAGGTTTCACAGAAATAGCAGTTTTAAAAAGGGTTATTGACAATAATACTTAACAAATTAAAATATCAGGGAAATGACTGCATTTTCAATCCCATCATTGTATTCTCAACCTTATCAGAGCTGACGGCTATAGACAGGGAGTTTTTACTAAATACAGAAGCTGAATTTGACAAGGAGGTGAGTCTGAAGATTTAAGAAAGTGGAAAGCCATCCTTTCTAGGAAGGTCAAGGCGGTTTTCCTTTCCTTTCTTTCATTTTAAGCAGTTGGATAAGACATGTGAAATCTGGATTTGTTTGTTTGTGTGATCAAATTAATCCTTTAGTCCTAAGAGGGAAAGAGCAGGTATGGTGCAGAGAGCCACTCGGCTCAAGTCCCCTGTGACTCTACCGGGACCACCATGGGCCCACAACACGAAGGAGCAAAAAGAACCCGGCCCTCACCTCCTTTCTTCCAGCCTCCCCTAACACAGCCTTGCTCTAAGGCAAGTGGTTCTCAGCCTTTCTAATGCTGCGACCCTTCACAGTTCCTCATGTTGTGGTGACCTCCAAACATAAAATTACATTCGTTGCTACTTCATAACTGTAATTTTGCTAAAGCTAATGAATCGTAATGTAAATATCTGAGTTTTCTGATAGTCTTAGGCAACCCTGCTAGCAGTTCTCAACCTGTGGTCACCTAAGACCATCGGAAAACACAGGTATTTACATTACGATTTATTAAGAGTAGCAAAATTACAGTTATGAAGTAGCAATGAAAATAATTTTATGGTTGGGGGTCCACCACAACATGAGGAACTGTAGTAAAGGGTCACAGCATTAGAAAGGTTGAGAACCACTGCTCTAAGGGCTTTTGCAACCCAACCTCCACGCTCAAACTGGGAGACTGAGCTGTACATTTCTACCCTTTAAACATTTGGCTACATGGGCAGGAGTTAAATGAATCAATTATGCAAAATCAGCCCAAAGCAGATGATTTTAAACAATATAACCTGTTCAATCACATTTTGCTGGCACACTTGAGAGAACTTCACCCTTGAACCCAAAGAGTCATGACGTTAACTGCTATTTTGTTGGTGACTTATGCACTGTCACATTTGAGTGCTTCATAATAACTGCATACAATGCCTCAAGTGGGCTTTGATCTGTTGCTGCCAGGCATCTATTCACAGTGTATCTAGACAAAACCATTGAGAAATGCTTTATCATCCTTGTGAAAAGAACAGAACCTCATTAGATGCCTTATAGAGACAGAAACAGACTTTGTACCACAGCATATCTATGTGAAACATCTCAGAAGGCTCCAAATATTCACAGCCATTGTTTGGGCCTTAAGTTTTCCCCAGGCCATATGTTTATGGGCACACATTACTTAGGATTATCATGTTTTAAAAGCCTACATACAGCTAGTTTGAAATCAGTAATTTCATGATGCCAAAGCAGTAGAATTAAATTAAATATGCCTATCTTAATTCAGATCTCAGTGCGGGATAAAGATTAACTGATAAAATATATGTAATAATCTTCATGTCACTTAAATATTTGTTATAGGATTTTATTTTATTTTTTAAATATATTTTATTGATTTTTTACAGAGTGGAAGGGAGAGGGATAGAGAGCCAGAAACATCCGTGAGAGAGAAACATCAATCAGCTGTCTCCTGTACACTGTCCAGTTACAATGGACAGTGTTAACTATTCTCATCATATTACATATACTTGAATTTCTAAGGAAAAATAATACTGCTAGACATACCGTTTTGTCTAGTTGACAGATCAAGTAAACAGAGTTCTATTCTGGAGAGGTATATAGCATATGTACTATAAAATATGCATTTTATTAAAAATAGTCAGGAATATAAAGGACAGCACAGGGAATATAGTCAATTACATTATAATATGTATACATAGTATCAGATGGGGACTAGATTTATGGCGGTTCACCTTGTAAAGTATATAAATGTCTAGATACTATGCTGTACACTTACTATAATATTGTATATAAATTGCAGCAGAAAAAAAATTAAGTTTTAATAAATATGTATTTTAACTTTTCATGATAAAGTTACTAACTTGCCTTGAGCTGCATATATTCCTTTGCTACTTTACTAATGAACCAAGACAAATTCATTAGCATCTTTGGAGATGGGCAAAAAATTGGAGGCTAAGTTAGGAAATGAGCACTAAACAGTTTATTTGATTCTGCTGAGCCAATCAATTAGACACATTGATTTCTAAACTCCATTTAAGTGAAGAACTAGAAGCTTCAAAGGCCTAAATAATCAGAGCTCCTCGCCTTTGGTAAGTAGAGTTGAACAGGTTTAGTGACTTCAATTTATCACAAGAATGCAGCATTTACAAGAATGCTTTACATATATTCACAGCATATTTAAAAAGCACAATACTGGCATAAAAATATAATAAGAGTTTCTATCCCTTCTAAGACTAAGAAATTTTGAGTATAAAATAATTCTGGAAACTTCTCTGGGACTACAGGTCAATGACAGACACGAGATTTATAAAAGAAAAACCCACAAAGGGGACTTCCTACCATCACTGCTGTAAAAGCACAAAGCCTCTCTTCTGGAAGAAACACCACCTGGCTTTACCCAGAACTGCTCAGCATTCTTCCTGTCAATGCTAACTGTCTCATCATCCACACTCACATTCACTGCTATTTCCTCCATGTCTGCTATAAAATGAAATGCAAATATGTCCCTTGCTCCTCCATGCATTTCCACGTGGCAATCCATTACGTTTGACAAACTGGCAATCATTTCAAATGTATTTCTTTCCAAGCTTCATGATATTAAATGAAAGCAAAGGTTTTTATTAACTACCACCACAAAAAAAAAAATCAGTGTTTGATGATTTAAAATAAATGAAAACCAAATAAAGAGATGAAGATCACACATTACCTCAAGACTGCAAAACAAAAAAGCTATAGAATATAACAAAAGTTGGCTTTGAATATACCAAATGAATCGGCACTCTACACATAAAATTATATTTTATTTGGTAAAAGTCAAAGTTACTCTAGACTCGTGAAAAGCTTTAGAATGGGTGGCTTAAACAGGTTGCAGTGATTTCCCCCTCACCCAGGGTTTAAATCAAACCTATATAATAAGAGAGGAATATGCTAATTATCCATTGCACCCTGAGGAGTAATGACCAACTGCATAAAGACCAGATCACGGATCTGCAGGAAAGTGGGGCAGCAAACTATAAGCAGGGCCCGTAGAGAGCTACAAAAGGGGGCAGGGCAGCAACATATGAAGGGGGAAGTTGGGTAGCTACAGAAGGGCAGGGCAGTGGGTGGAGAGCTGCAGGGGGAAGGGCAGCAACCTACTGGTGCACAGATTCGTGCGCAGGGCTACTAGTCTCTCTCTATATATATAAAAGTCTAAATACCCAGAATGACCAGAATGACTGGTTGCTATGATGCACACTGAACACCAGGAGGCAGATGCTCAACACAGGAGTTTTCCCTGATGATCAGTACACTCCCACAGCCAACCTATCCCCGCTGGCCAACCTCCCACAGTCCCTCCACCTGACCAGCAGGCCCTGATCACCCAGTCAGAGCATGGCACTAGGCTGGTATGGAAACCAGGGTGGGTGGCAGCAGATGCAGCTCCATTTCCCAGGCCGGCTCTCTCCTTGGGGCTGCAGGCCAACCTCCTGTGACCCTACCCCCTCTCTCCAGGCTGGCAGGCCCTTATTGGCCTGCACCTGCCTTCCCAGGAGCAGTGTTGTGGCAAGAGAAGAAGGAGGGGGCGGGCAGGGAACCTCTCAGTAGCAGAGTGCTGACGATGGCAGCGTCAGCATCCGACATTCATTCCTTCTGCACCTGGCCCAGAAACTGTCACCTCCTCTCTGTCTTGGCCCTGATTGACCTAGCCCTAATTAGCCCTGATTGCAAGCCAGGCCAAGGGACCCCAGTGGTACATGGATTTCATGCACTGGGCCTCTAGTCATTAAATATGTGGTTAATTCTTGCAAACTCATTTAATTAGCTGCTTATGAGGCCTGTAAATAAACCACTTCAAGGTCCAAAACGACAAACACAAATACGAAAATAAATACACAGTGAGGCATCAAGAATTTGTCGAAATAATTGTCAATATGAACCCTTCAACATTTTGATTTATCAAAAATAAATAAAGCCAGTTTTAAAAGATGCATCATTTCCTTCCTTCGAAGGAGTATTCAATAGTGTACTTTATTATATTATTTTCACCCAGGAAGCAGAAAATCAGAAACAGAAACTATCACTAGATTTAAGAACAGAGTCAAAGTGTGTGTGCCATGTCTCTGATCTGTTCTCTCGTCCACTGCTATTGCCATGACAGAGACCAAAGGCACCCAGCTATTGTCTAGCTTCCCTCTGCTCTATTCCCAGGTCCACTTGTTTGTTGTGAG